ATTCTTCTATTATTAAGAGGATTGCAATCTTAAAGCCAACCTGTCATGGGTAAACGAAATTCCTCTACTTTGGAGAGTATCCTCTCGAGATCATATATAAATGGAAAATCCTCTGACATTAATACGGAACCGCTAAACGGTAGAATATTTTTTTTTGGGTGAATAATGGCTCAACAAAGGTGATAGTTTACATGTGTAGACTTACGTGATTTATGAGGGATTATATAGGTAAATATCTGATGGGAGGGATATCACAGATATATCTATACATGAGGTAACAGCGAATGCTTTTAGTCGGTTTACAACGTTCATAAGTGTACCATTTACTTGTTTTACTTGTGTTCAGTGGATATTTATTTGAGGAAATAATCTTCAAGTAGTGAAAACATTTTTCTATTCATTATTTACGGAATCTTCTTCGTTATAATTGACATCGGTTTCAAATTTCAACATTCTTTCTCATTATACAGCATATCTTAATATTTGCGATAAAAAATATAGTGCATCTTATATGTATATGTACATTTAAATCTTTTTTATACATAAACAAAATATTTTGCTGTGGTTCTCTACCTGGTTATTATATATCATTGTTTATAATATTTTACTAAATTGGTAGTCGCGTGTAGTAATGGCTTTTTAGTAGCTACATTTTAGCAGGAACTGAATACTGAAATAATATTGCTAGTTATTATGTGTGTATACCGGTATATATATATATATATCTATTTTTTTTATAATACCTGTATTGAAGATCAAATATACGGATTTATAATCAAAATTTTCATAATACCAGAATGTATATAATTTTTCATAAATATCAATAATACGAATAAATTATCGATATTATTATTATCATATGTAAGATATTTTTTAACTTAACAACTTTTACAAAAATTTATTTATGATCACCTCAAATAATGACTTGCAAATATTATTCGTAAGTATATAGGGCATAAAAATCTAAAACTATTAGTTGTGGACTATTCTTTTAAAAAAAATCATAAAGATTAAAAAAATTATAAATTTAAAAGTAGCTTATTAAATATAAATAATAAATAAAAGGAGCATTCAGCCACAGAATGTTTTTGCGAATGTCATATATTTAAAAATTGTACGTTAAAAATATAAACTCATAAACGTTTTAGCCATTATCAGACCATTATTTTTATTATTATGACTACTCTCTAAATCTGAATCAGTGGATAATCACTGATATCAGTGACAAGTATGCCACTGGTAATCAGTGAATTAAATGTGAGATCCCAAACCTAGCTAATCTTTATTATGTGATCTAACTATCCTTATTTTAGTGCTTAAATTCAATGAATATGGTATTGGAAAATTGAAATTAACGTGCAAATATCAGTATTTTAGTTACATAATGCTCAAACATTTTTCCTTTTTTAGTTGAACTTCACTGATTATCAGTGCCAAGTATGCCACTGGATAATTAGTGACTATTCACTGATTCAGATTTAGAGAGTACGTATTATCGTTTAATTTATTATTCATTTTGTTATATAACATACTGATCAATTCTTTCTTCATCCGAGATCTCGGATCGATTTCTAACATCGGACCCCGGAGACTCTATAATTTTTTCGGCACCTCAATTATTATAATCTCTAACATAGATATATTTAAGAAATTATGTTAAAATTCCGAACGTTTCGGCCAACACTTGGGGCCATCATCAGCGAAATACACAAGTTTAGACACGTGGAGATTTCCTTGCAAACTCACATAACAGATCGAGTGACATCGGAGCAGTCACTCCATCTGTTATTAACATTATTCTGTTAATAACAGATCGAATGACTGCTCCGATGTTAATAGTATATCAATATTTTTCTTATGATATGTAATAAGTGTCTAATTTAATAAATATATAAGTGTATATATACATATACATAAAGGTATAACCTTTACATTCTGATTATACCAGTTAGATGTATTTAAATTACTAATTGTGAATATAACTGGTATAACCGGTATATATACCGGTATTCATACCAATCGACTTTTATTTTAGTTATTACATAATATTTACAAATACCAATAGGGGAAACCGGGGCACATGGTCATCGATTGTTTAACATAATCTAGAATGTTTAAATTAATACTACTGCGGTACAATACGACTTACTTCGTTGCCCATACTTTTTATCTCGGTAGCAGTGATTAAATTCTATTGTATAGATCATTAATGGTTTTCATGGTGCAATAGTAACTTTTCAACTGCATAAAAATATTTTAATATTGTTTTTGTAGTAAAAGATACATGTATGAAGATAAGGTGCATTTTTGCACATCTTATCTCATGTTACTACGTTACAAGTAATAATCTAACATTTATTTTTTATCGTTTTCTATTAATTAAATGTATAATTAAATATATAATTGGGGTACTATGGATCCTAACATTAAACATTCATAATGAAACTGGATAATACATAAAGTATATGTACTAAAAGGGCAGTTTATAATTCTAAGCAATTAATTTTATTTTGTCGTAATAAATGTTTTATCTTATATTAATGGTTCTCATTTGTTTTCCTATAATTTTCTAACGTATTATTTAATAATTATTAGTTGTAATTATATTTTATAGTATTAGTGAATATGCTAAGAATGTACAAGTTAATTGAAAATACTTTTCAACTTTCACCGTTATTTCTTGCATAATCCTACTATTTTGTACGTGACTTATGATATTCCGGATATGAGACACCAATGTGGGCACCATTTCTCTCTCTCTTAAAAAAAAATATATTTTTATTTTTTCTTAAAAATCAATACATTTTTACTAAATACACTTATTAAATTTTAAAATATCCATTATACTCTAATTATTTTTAAAAATGATACAAAAATTTTTATATTTAGATGAACTTTTAAGAGTTTGAATTTTTGTGATTCACGATGCCCTGGACTCCCTTGTATGATTGCTTTATATCGAACGGGAACTAAGAACGGTATAACCGGTTATATCGATTATATTGGCTGCGTTCAGCAGAGAAAGCAGCTTTGCAACTGTTGTAAAATTCTTCAATATGATTGGCCTTGTCCTTAGTTCTTCATTGGATCTAAATGTATAAACCAATCATATTCAAGAATTTTACAACAATTACAAAGCGGCTTTTCTGCTGAAAGTAGCCATTGTTTTTTAGTTCATGTTTAAAAGATTATATTGTTTTATTATAATTCAGTTCTTGGTTTCAAGCGACTTGCAGTAGCTCTTCAGATCGATTGCTAGTGTTACAAGTATTTTGTTACATCTGTTCTATACTTTTCTGTAAGTATATGTATCATACAATAAGCTCATATAATAAAATCAACATTTGTACAATTTAATAAAGATAAAGATTATTTAACAAAACTGTAAATTGTTTTAATGTTGCGATAAAATTCAATAAGTAATATGCAGATAACAGCATATAATTAAATTAATTGTTAAAAAACTAATATTTTTAATCACTTTTATTGCTGTTTGTATAATAACTAATATACTGTGATTATAGTAAACATATCTTTTTTATAAACTTTGAAGTAGAAAATTAAATAATAAAAGTGATAATGAGCGATATATCAGTGTGTCTCTATTTATAGAATTGATTTTGGAAGAGAAATCTATTTTATAAATATGTATATGTATTCATATTTAAATTATATGTATATGTATTTTATATTTAAATTATATATATATATATATAGCGCTATTTCTGATTAAAAACTGAATCGAAAAGTCCTCTACAATTTTGCACACACACACAATTTTCACAATGATTTATAAAATATTAATTAGTTCTAAAGATTGCCGAATAAGCCGCCCAACCATTAATTATTACGGAAATTGCAAAATGGTAAAGGACTTTTTGACTCAGTTTTTGATCATAGGATTATGTGAATAACATTATGTGATTTGAGAATCGTTTATTCGGTATGTGAATAACATTACGTGATTTGGCAATCGCTTATTTGGTAATCTTTAGAAATTAATATTTCGTCAACAAATAGAAAATGAATGGAAAAATGTATTCTTGTAGAAGTTAAACACTAGATTAAACATATATAAGTCTGTGATCAAGATGTTCGAAAAACTTATTAATAGAATGCAAAAAATTAGGCATATGGTATCAAAACCCAAGTTTTGGAGTTTAAACTTGAAGAAATTAAAGATCTAAGAAAAAATAAGGTTTTTTTTCTAATTTTAATGAAAGTATATAATAATAAATTAAAAAACATAATGCATTCATATTTTATCCTTTATATTACGGAATTTCCATAAATGGAGAGTGTGCAGAAAATTTTAAGTGTTCATTCAATTTTTCCAACACACACATTTCACACAATTTGATAGTTAATTTTAGTTCGCTCATTTAGAATAACTAAAATGTTCTATTTATGACGCAGTATTGTAAAGTAATATTGTTGGAGCGCATTCAGAATCTTATATTTACGATAAGAGGTCCAGATATTTCTAGTAAAATGGTTGATGAACCAATGGTAAGTGTAAAATTATATAATAATCATCTGTTGATGTAGCTAATTTTTTCACGTTACATTCGATAAAAAAACCATGATTATATGACGTTAAATATGTATATTAAAGATACGTAGTTCAAAAGTATTGTGTGTTCAAAATTATAAACAATTAAAACAATCTAATTTGTTATTTACAGATTTTCACTGTAGAAAATGGCATTTATAAGGGGCAAATAACACATGATTTGAATAAATACAAGTGTCCCGGAGAAGTGATATGGCACGGCATTAGAAGCAATGGAGAAAAAATTGCACACGTGAGTCAATTTTATATACAGGGTGTCCCGTGAGACTTTTACCAAGCACTTTTTTGTAGATAGAGCGGCCTAAACTGAGTTGAAAAGTCCTTTATCATTTTGCAATTTTTGTAATAGTTAACGAGATATTAATTACTAAAAGTGCCGAATATCATAGTCTTGAATAATTTTTTACTCAAATACTATCAACTTTACAGAAAAATAGCATGAGGCAAAAATTGTTTACATTCTCTTCATAGAGCTCTAAGAATTTTTTCAGAATTTTTAGTGAACTTTTTAGTACTGCATTTTCTTATGGCAACTATTTTTACCAATATACGAGAAAATACAGTATTAAAAAAAAATTCTCAGAACTTTATAAAAAGGAAATAGACTATCATTTCGGAATTTTTTCGTGATACAATTCAATAGGCATTAAAAAAAGTTCACAGTAAATAAAAAAAACGAAAATTTAAATAAAATTATGTAAAAACTGATTGAATATTTTTACGATTATATATAGTTTTTGTAAAATTTAATTTCTTCTTTTAATCAATATAAAAAATGTTTTGGAATTTATAAATGGTTCTTTCAGTAGTAAGCTAATGACTCTACCATATAACTAATTCTTTATTGTTTTGAAACATTTTTTATAATAACACTATGTAGTTGGACGCATGCACTGAAGAGACGGTCACATACGCACAGTTGCAAGATAAAGTTGTGAGATGCGCCTTGTGGCTACAAAAACAAGGAGTCAAATCTGACGATATCATTAGTGTGTGTACGGGTAATCATTACAACTCTATCGTGCCCTGTCTTTCAGCAATTTATATCGACGTGATTTTCAATTCGTGGGACGAGAACATGAATCTAAGTAAGTTCTTTCGCGACTGTTAAATGTTGCAATATTCCACGTTAACACGTGCAGTAAAATTAGAAATAGTTAATATATTTCCGCGTATTAATAAAATACGCGCAATTATAATTTTAATTACTTTAAAATATCTTAATATTTAGTGCAATGTTTATTTTTTAAAATTATATATGAGTTATTTATTATTAGAAACTGCGTTGCACGTTTTGCGAATGCTCATGCCGAAGGTAATCTTCTGTAGCGAGAAATCGGTGGATGTCATCTTGAGCGCGATAAAGGAACAGAATTGCAGTCCCATGATAGTAGTTTTTGGCAAGCATATTGACGCGATTTCATTTTCCGATATTCTGAGTAATTGCAGCGATGTGGAAGTAGCAAATTTTCATTACGTCGATCACGTTGACATGACGAAGACGGCATGTATTTTACATTCGTCAGGCACTTCAGGGATGCCAAAAGGCGTTGAATTGTCCAATAATGTCCTATTACATATCAGTCAGAATAAAAGTATAGACTTGGCTAACATGGTATTTCTTTGGTTTTCTTCTCTTTATTGGGTGAGTGGGATCGTCCTGAACTTAATTACGATCGAGCAAAGCGGCAAAGTGATCATCTACCCTGAATTTAACGAGGAGATGACTTGTCAACTGATCGAGAAATACCAAGTAATGTTATGTTATATATAAAAAATTTCATTTTCTTAATTTCGTTGAATAATTAAAGTGAAATTATTTTAATTTTTTACATTTTCTAAAAATAATATCACTAAATTGTTTCACACTAATGTAAATAAGTAGTAGCAAGTAATTTTCTGTTATAAGTCAATTTTTATTCTAATTTAGTTTTTATTGTTTTGCGAGTTCTATAATGAAGTTGACGTAAATTGATTTTTTTTAGTATAATCTAATGTTTTTAAATTTTAAATTAATAACTAATGTGATTTCTATATATATGTATTGTAACTTATCTTTTGTTAAAATAATTATATTAATTTTTGTAAAATTTTTGTATCAATTTCTCGTTTAATGTATTTGTACGTACCAAATTGTATTTTGATGAATTAATAGCATATTGAATATATATAACATCTTGCCAAAAATACAAATTATAACGACTAAGAAAAAATATATTATAACAATCTTTTACAATGACATCTATCTACTTCTTTACATTATAAATTAGATATATGATTAGTTTTATATTTACAAGTAGTTTGCGCATGATATGTAATACAATTCAAAATATGAATTGTTTTATTATCTAGGTAGAAATTATTTTTTTAAGCACAAGTACATTGAGTCGGTTTCTCAGAGCGAATTGTATAAAGAAATACTCTTTATCATCCCTAAAAGTTATACTGTACGGTGGTGCAATTATGAATAATAAAGTGCAGGAAGAATTGAAATATATTTTACCACACGTCCAAATATTGCAAGGTTACGGTAAATACAAAAAAGACAATAAGATATTAACATATATTATGTGGATGATATAATTTTAATTACATTTTTTATGTTTCAAGGAATGACAGAAACCGGTGGTCCTGTAACGTCGCCGCAATCACATCATAAGAATGGATCTAATGGAGTTGTAGCCAAGAATGTGCAAATAAAGATCGTGGACCCTGAAAGCGGGAAAATATTTGAATCAAATCAACCGGGAGAAATATTGGTAAAATCTGCAACCATGATGACTGGTTATTATAAAAATCCTGAAGCGACAAAAAGTACGATTGATGAGGAAGGTAAATCTTATTTGTCGTAATAATAAGTAATAATAATATATTTTTTTAATTAATTACAATTTAACACATGCAAAAACTAAATCAATTATATTCCATTAGATCCCAAAAATATATATAATAAATATAGTTATAAAAATATAATGACATAAAAGTAAATTTAAAAAATAGGATGGTTGCACACGGGTGATATCGGTTATATAGACGAAGATGGAGAATTGTTCATTATCGACAGAATGAAGGAACTCATAAAGTACAGAGGTCAGCAAATCTCTCCCGCAGAAATCGAGAATATGTTAGTAACACATCCAGCAGTGCTAGAAGCTGCAGTAATAGGGGTGCCCCATGCATTAGACAATGAACATCCTCTTGCTTACGTTACCAACAGACCTGGCATCGAGGTACAATCTTTTGTTAGAAATATATAATAAAGTCATAAAAAATAAAGATTTACAAAATAAAATCAGAATATTTCTAACAGTGAGCCGATTTTGAATATTCCGTCAGATATTTTCTTAAAATATTTAATAGATGTCTACTAGAAAGAGAATCACACTTATAGAAATAAGGATCTTGATGTGATTAAAATAATTAAAAAACAAATTAAAAAATTTGCATATTAACTCGATCAAAATTAGAGTGCAATGAATAAATCAGTTTAAGTTTAAAGAAATAAAGATTCGATAAGAACAAAAGAATCGCGAACGTTTTAATACAAAACAGGAAATATTTTATGTACTGGATTAATCTTTTTCATTTTCTTTGTACAGGTGACGGAACAGGAATTGATAGACTTTGTGGTGGAGAACATGGAAGATCGATGTAAACTACGTGCAGGAGTTATATTTCTGGATAGTTTTCCATATACGGGTTCAGGGAAAATTTCAAGAAAAGATTTGAAAGAAATGACTAAGAAACTAGTAAACTACGGTGATTAGATACATAATTATATTCTTTCATAATAACTTTAATTTATAAATGTGTAACTCTTATTACTTCAGAATACAAGATACAAATATAGATTATCGTTTTTTTTATCAAATAAAAAATTGTTTTATTATAATTGATAGAAGTATGTAATATTTAGATTTGCATAATTTCTAAAAAAGCGTTTCTGCTATGACAGCTGCAAAATTACTTTTTTTAAATATTTGTATGCTTTGTTAAATATTAAAAAATATAAAGAGACGGAAGAGTAATTAAAATAAATTATATGTAGAGAGTATACGTTAAATAATATATCTAATATTAAAAGTTATTATAATTCGGTAGTTATAATCATTTAAAGGTATTTGAGGCCATATAACAACTAGTGAAAAATAATTTGTCAAATTATTAGCAAGTTAATATCGATTCAAAATCTAATTGATAGTCATTTCTCATTGAAAATCACATCATACATTGTCGAAATTATCAAAATGCAATAATTTGTCTTCGCAATTGATCTTTGATCAGGCGCATTTGACTTTCAATCAGCTAAGATCATATATGAATTGATTGACGGTTTAAAGCTTTATCGAATTTTGCAATAAAGACGACTACCTATACTTAGTTAATTGCCTAATTGAAGACTATAAAAATCAGTAAATCCCCGAAGACAATAAAAATCAATAAACACAGTCACACACAGTAGTCAAGAAATAATAGCATTGTTAGTAAGAATCAGTGAATGACATAAAAAATAACAACAAAGTTAAGAACTAGAAAATAATTGAGAGGTAATGAGTTATTGTATTACTATAAATAAATTGATTCCGTCCGCTTTGGTGTAAATCATTTTAGTTAAACTTTGGGTATAGGTAATTGTTTGTAATTTACGATTGAATAAATAAATTTGTGAGATAAGAGTGACTCGTCATGTATAACTTTTAATAAGCGCTGCCACACCGAATGACTCCCAAGGCGAAAGAGTTTCATAATATTTCATTTGTTGAATCGAAAGATTGAAGTACAAGGTTACAACGCAATAGATATTCATCTAGTCATCTATTTAAGACAAGAATATTTTCCTTAAGATAAATATCATAAAACGTGAAAAAGAAATTTATTGATCTAATAATAATAATGATGATGCAAATGTTTATAATTTGCGCAGTTATGGAAACTGAACTTGATTTATTATATGTGAAAGAGAGAGAGAGAGAGATACAATAGATATATCAAAAAAGAAGGATGTATTATAAATAGTCAGTAAATGCTTATATATAGTCTACTACTTTTAATAACGTTCACAATCGTTTTGTTACTCACTTGTCTGCTGAATGTTCGCATAGAATGATCTTTGCGTAGTGAAAAATTTCCGTCCACCAGACACGGAATCTTTTTCGTTATAATCGACGCTATCAATTTTTCTTCAAATTTCAACATTTTTTCTCTACATCGGATATCTTAACTATCTAATCAAAGGTATTGTTTATATATGTTTAAATCTTTTTTGTATGTAAATGGATTTTGTATGCAAATGAATTCGATCGTGTCTCTATTTTATTTTTAATTGTTTGTAATAATTTATCAATTTAACAACTACAAGTAATGATGGCTTTTTAGTAGTTATTTTTTAGTGTTTATTTTTGTTGACGAGTATTTTCTGAGTATTTTAGTACTTCTTCTCTCATATAAGTAGGTACATCATACATAACTATCAGATAAAATAAATAAAGATATTGAAATATTTTCTACTATTTCATTTCTTATTATTTTTAAGGGGAAAAATTAAAAATTGTAGTTTTGTTATAGTTCTTGAATTTAAGCAATTTGGGATCGCTCTCAAGGTCAACTGCTACATTATAACTGTTGTGTTATATATATCTGTTTTGTGTTTTGCTATAAGTATTGTATAATAAATTCTTACAATAAAATTAGTATTTATACGATTCAATGAAAATAAAAGATTATGCAACAAAACCATCATAGTTTTAGTGATATGATAAAAATCAATAAGTACACAACAAATATTCACATACACACACACACACACACAGATATCTCGTACATTTTGATAATCAATTTCAGTTCACTTATTTAGAATAACTAAAACGCTCTATTTACGACACATTACTGTAGAGTAACATTGTTGGAACGCATTCAGAATATCATATTTACGATGGAAGATCCAAGTATTTCTTACGAAACTGTTGAACATGATCCAAAGGTAATTGTAAAATCACATAGTGATTTATTAATGTGTTTAATTTTTATGTTACATTTTAAGAAAAAAGTTATAAATGTACAGTGTTTCACGTGTGTGTGTTCGCAATTTTTTAAATTAAAGGCATATAATGCAAAGTAACAAACAATTGAAACAATCTGATTTGTATGTTACATACAGAATTTTACTGTAGAAAATGGCATTTACAAGGGACCAGTAAAGCATAACATGAATAAATACAAGAGTCTCGGAGAAATGTTATGGATCAGAATTAAAAGTCATGGAAACAAAATTGCATATGTAAGTCATGTTTATAAGCATATAACATTAGTTATAAGCATATAACATTATAGTATAATACATAGAATTTATCAGAAAAGTAGATTTCAACTTTTAAAATTTATGTCTATCTAAATAAGAAAGAAGATTTATTAAAAATATACTCTGGAATAAAAAAGATTTATATTAATAATAATATGAATATAAATTGTCATTGCCCTATTGCTTCTATCAATCTGTTTATTTTGTACAATACAATATTAAACTAAAATTTGCCAAAATATAAGATAAACAAGTATACTAAGGAGAGAATTCATATATTGTACATATAATATACAATATTTCGATATTAAACTTCGACCGAATATTTTATGCGAATATTTAATTGAGTTAGTTCTGCTTTCTTCCAGCACTCCTTGCAGAGCTGTTTATAACGTAATTATAACGTAATAGAAGTAAATGCATAGAAAGAAACATTGAAACTATACCATTATTTTAACGTTATAAAATTTATTTTTATATGAAGAAATTTACTTAATAATTTATTAATTTTGTAAACTAATATTTTACTTTTGTAATTTCAAAATATCTAAAGATATTTTACATATATAAATCGTTACAAGTTAAACACTAATTGATTAAAAATATATTATTTTAGATTGATTAAAGTAAGACATAAAAGGTCACAAAAAATTTGTCTAAAATAATTTAATTATAAAATGCTAAGACAAATATATGAAAGAAACCGCAAAACAACTAAAATGTGGATTTAATCACAGACAACTATCAATAACCGTACGAGCGTGATGAATCACGTTTTCATTAATAGACAATAATCTCTGGCTAGCAAAGTCACGTGATAACGGCCGTCAAAGTACAGAATAAAACAATAGAAAACATTATCGAGTAAATCGTTAAAGTTTAACATTGACGTCATTTATAAAGATGCTAATGTGTATTCTTTTATCACATGTTTTATAATACTGTCCAATAAATTTAATGTCAAAACAATTTCTTATTTAATGTTATGTAATACATATACATATATTAGCGAATATTCACAAAAAATTTAGAAACAAACATGTAAAAAATTTAAACTATAATTTTAAAATAATCGCGGAATTATCATAATACCAACATTATAAATAAAATTTATAATTTAATATTATCAAAAATTCTTTTTTAAACCTAATCATGAACGGTAATTATTAACAATAAATGCTTTAAGACTAATATTTTCCGTACGTGATACAATTCAATAGGTGTTTCTAAAAAAAGAACAAATCCGAAAAAGAATTCTGAAGCGAATCAAAATAAAATTCTTTAAAAAATAATTGAAAGACTTTACAATTGTACATAGTTTTTGTAAATTTTAATTTTGATTATTAATTAGTAAAAGTACATTTTAGAGTTGTGAATAATTCTTTTAATCGCGAATTAGTGATTCTGCAACATAATTAATTTTGTGGTGTTTTGAAACATTTTTTTAAATAATATATAGTTAAAATAATATATAGTTGGACGCATGCACCGAAAAAACAATCACATACGCGGAACTGCAAGATAAAGTTGTGAGATGCGCCTTGTGGTTTCAAAAACAAGGAATTAAATCCGGTGATGTTATTAGTACATGCACAGGCAATCATCTCAACTCCATCGTGCCTTGCCTTTCGGCAGCTTATATCAACGCAATCTTCAATTCGTGGAATGAAAACATGGACTTGCGTAAGTTCTTCCTGAATTATCAAATATTCCATGTTGTATTCGATTAAATTAATAAATTCGAAATAATGCATTTATTAATAACAGTGCGAGTGAGTCCAATTTTATCTTCTATTTTAATCTACCTTAATACTTAGCGCGTAATATTTATTTTTTTATTATTTATGAATTATTTGCCATCAGAAACTGCGCTGCACGTTTTACGACTGACCACGCCAAAAGTGATCTTCTGCAGTGAGAAATCAGTGGATGTTGTTTTGAGCGCGATAAAGGAGCAAAAATGCAATCCCATGATAGTGATTTTTGGCAAGCATGTCGATGCGATTTCGTTCTTCGATATTCTGAGAAATTGCAATGATGTAGAAGTAGCAAATTTCCGTTACGTTGAGCTCGACGATATAAAAAAGACGGCGTGCATTTTGCATTCGTCGGGCACTACGGGGATGCCGAAAGGCGTCGAACTGTCCAATTATGGACTATTAGTCATTACCCAGGGAAATATTTTAGCTGTGGCTAACACGCCACTACTTTGGTTTTCTTCTCTTTATTGGCTGAGTGGGACAGCGCTGAATTTAAGTATGATCGTGCAAGGCAGCTTAGCGATCTTCTATCCAGAATTTGACGAGGAGATGACTTGTCGATTAATTGAAAAATACAAAGTAATAATTTGTTATATATAAATATTCTAATAAAATATAATGTTTCACGATAATATAAATAAGTAAAAATAAATAGCTTCTTATATATACTATAAATAAGTTATCGTAGTGGTTTAATTTTCTTGCTCTTGCAAAATCTATAACAAAGTTGAACTGAATTGGTTTTCTTCAAGCATACTTTAACATTTTTAAATTAAACAAATAATTGACACAATAACTTATTATTATTAGAATAGTACTATTAATTTTTGTATCATATCTTCTCGTTCAATGTGAGTAATGAATTGCATTTATATAATTGATAATGAATTAAATATGATAACATCTTGCAGTCAAGATAAGTGCAAAGTAACTATGTAATTGTAAGAAAGAATATATTAAAATCGTGATTTAATGATATCTACTTATATGTATATATTATTAGCGTTATATTTAGAAATAGTTTGCACACGATATGATTCAGAAGTATAAATTATTTTGTTATCTAGGTAGCATTTATTTTTCTTAGCACAAGCATGATCAATCGGTTTCTCAAAGCGGGTTACGTAAAGAAATATTCTTTATCATCTTTAAAAATTATAATGAGCACTGGTGCAATAATTAAGCCGAAAGTGCAGGAAGAATTGAAATGTATTTTACCACATGTCGACATATTGCAAGGTTATGGTAAATATGGATAATGCAATATATTAGTATATACTTTAATGTGTGTTATAAAATTTTAATCATTTCTTTTGTTTTAAGGAATGACGGAAACCAGTGGTTTTATAACAAGTCAACTACCGAGTCACAAGAACGGATCTTGCGGTGTGGTAGTCGAGAATGTGCAAATGAAGATCGTAGATCCCGAAAATGGAAAAATTCTTGGTCCGAATCAATCGGGAGAAATATGGGTAAAATCTGCAACCATGATGAATGGTTATTATAGAAATCCTGAGGCAACAAAAAGTACGATTGATGAGGAAGGTAAAGAAATTCTGTCATAACAATAATCATAAACATAATTATGGTTAAAAAAAATTAATTACAATTAATACATATTCAAAAACTATAAATAAATTATATTTAATTAAATTTAAAAAATATATAATAATGTTATGAAAAAAAATCTAATCTTATTATATCATACATCTGTAAATTTAAAAAATAGGATGGTTGCACACGGGTGATATCGGTTATATAGACGAAGATGGAGAATTATTCATTATCGACAGAATAAAAGAACTTATGAAGTATAGAGGATATCAGATCTCTCCTGCAGAAATTGAGAATGTGTTAATGTTACACCCTGCAGTGCTAGAGACTGCAATCATAGGAGTGCCTCATGCATTAGACGATGAGCATCCTCTTGCTTATGTTACCAAGAGGCCTGGTGCCGAGGTACAATCTTTATAAGTATGATAAAATCATAGAATAAAGATTTACAAAAGAAAATTTGAATATTACTAATAGTACCTAGAGAAAAGTCACCGATACTGACATAGGTCTCCTAAAGCGACACCCCCTTATTTCTCATAAACTAACTATTGCACTTATGTATTAATACTAAAATAAGAAAATCATAATCTGTTTAGCTAATTAAAGAAGTAGGTACAAACTAATAATTCGTATATTTGTAGTTTGTTTCTATACCAAATAAGCTAAAATCGAATTCTACGAATGCGAAAATAAAATTCTTACGATTTTCTTTTGCAAATTGCGTAGTTTAAATAATAGTGACTATATTATTGATAATATTTCGTTGTTTTAAATGCTTGTAGTTTTCTAAATCAGTTTTATTTAAATTATTTTTTCTCAATACGATTTTAAATTGAAAATTGAAGTACAGCGTAAACCGTCACACTTGGTTGTAAAACAGACCATGAGCTAACTTAATCTTTGTAATGTTGCTTTATAGCGTCAAATAGCTCTATTGAAACTGAAGGCAATCGTGTATATATAGAAAAACTCTTGAAAAACTATCGCGTTACATATTTGCATCTTGCAGAACAATATAAAGAACAACATAATTTAATAAATATGCATATAATTCAATAAAAATGTTTTATAACGAAATGAAAAGATTCGGGAAAATCTTATATACATTCACTTGTAGGTACTTTTCCTGTAAAAGAAAAAAAGAGAATACGTAGGTCTACTGTGTCAGTTTTGGAGCCCATTTTGTCAGACCCTCATTTTTGCTTATCTTACGAAAAAATTAATTATTGCAAAATTGCAAACAGTATTATAAAAACTGCATACTATCTGATAGAAAACACTTTTTAATTTATACTTGTGTTTTTAATGTTTTATTTTTACCTTTTGTTTAAGAAATATTGTCTACAAACAAAGTGGTATATCGATATCGGTAACTTTCCTCTAAAATGATCTTGAACATTTCGCTAGATAAATTTTCTTAAAATCTCTAGTAGATAGAGAGAATCATACTCATATTATAAAAACAAAGACATTGATGTGTTAAAAAAAATGAGAAAAACGAATTAAAATATTTGTTTTTAAAACATTAATTCGGTCAAAATTTAATAAATAAGGCATTTTAAGCAAGTAAAATTTAAGATTTTATATAGGACCACCGTGTAAATTTCATATTTTTTATTTTATAACAAATTGAATTAAACTTAAACATTATTTGATTATTGGATTGAAAAAGTATATCATTAAATTTATATGTCTATTATTTTTTAATAGGAAATAGGAAATATTTTTATGTATTAGAATATCTTCACACTGATTTAATTTTTTTTGTACAGGTGACAGAACAGGAATTAATAGATTTTGTGGCGAGGAATATGATGGATCACTACAAACTACGTGCAGGAGTTATATTTTTGGACAATTTTCCATATACGGGTTCAGGAAAAATTTCAAGAAAAGATTTGAAAGAAATGACTAAAGAACTGGTAAAGCGTATTGATTAATTACGTAATTATATTTTTCTACACACAATAATATAAATTTGTAAACATATATAATCTTATTACTTCAGAATAAAAGATACTAAAAAAATGTGTATCTTCGTGCCCAAATCCATTACTAGAATGTCAACGTTTCGTGAACATTGCAGTTTACTTCATCAGGGCGAGGAGCAGTCTGATATTGATAATATTTAGGTTATTCCTTGCCCTGATGAAGTAAACTGCAATATTCACGAAACATTGGCATTCTAGTAATGGATTTGGACGCGGAGATAATTTACGAAACGCATAGTTTTTGTATGAAAAATTCCCGTAGAAGCCTTACAAGTATTATTATATTAAATATACAGATTATTGTTAACCAATACAGAGTATTGGTTAACAAATAAAAATTATTTCATGTAATTAATAGAGGTACATTCTTTAGATATAAACCCGTTCCGAGAAAAATGAATTTTAAGTTCATGGATTAGAAATTATTATTTTAAATATTTATGCTTTGTTTAATATTTAAATGTTGGGGAGACCGGGGCTAAAAGTAGGCTAAGCTGGCATTTGAATTTTCAGTGACAAAAATATATCTTATGAGTTTCCAATTTATATTGTAGATGGCATCTCGTGTGTGTCTTCTTTACCAACGAAGTTTGGTTAGTTTAGTTAAATTCCACGTTAAATCAGACAAAAAATGTATATTTTTTTATATCTTTCTGAAAAGTTTTATTCTTATACATAATAAAAATTTTTTTAATTTACACAAATTCCAAAGTCACGATATTTTCTACAGAACTCGGCTACGAATCATTATATAATTATTCTGTAAGAATCAAGACATTCAGAAAGAACAAAAAACGCTCATTTTTTCTGATTTGTATAAAAAATGAAAAAAATGTCCAGTGCTTTTGATCGGAAATAACCGTTCTAATGCTTCCTCCGCGTGATCAATTTCAATTGAATTGAGGATTATCCAATGAAGTGACAAACACCTTTATCCGATGAAATATAATTTCTGATTACATGTGAATAAAATATGTCCGTTATATGCCTATCCGTTAAAATTTCATCGGATAAACCTACAACTTGATCAGACATTAGCCTTGAATGGATAAAGAGAAAATATTTTATTCGCGACCAAGTTTGAAAGACGCTGACCAATCACAGAATAGTTGATCATGTGATCAGTGACTGTTTCCGTAGACTCTTTAGACTGATGGCATTACTTTCATGTTGAGATCGAACGAGCACGTGTTTCTGGTGCGAATATCTATTTAATTTTTATTACGTTTCTCTTTTGATTTTTATTACGCATTCGTTAATTTTTGACTGCATAAACTGCATCATTGCAGTATCGAAAAGAAGTGTGTGACAACAAAATTTCTCAGGATATAAAAACAGTGCTTGAAACTACGAACGTTAAGGAAAAAGTAATCCATGTTTTTATAAATAAACCTTTTCTTATATAAAAATTTACATGTTAAATGATCAATGCTTGTTTATTCAACTATATGTATAATTTGATCAGTTAACATCAGATCAAAAATATATGCATGCAGACTTGATCGAACATAATGTGATCGAATAGTCAAAAGGTAACGAACGGATATTTCTCATCGGATATACTTAGTCCGATAAATTTATTTCCGATTAATAAATGTGATCGGATTTTTGTCCGATCAAAATAATCCGAAATAGCTGTTTGTTACTTTTTGAAAAGATAATCCGATCATTATGATCGGAAAAAGTCTGGATTTTTTTCGGTGCAATTGTGATCGTAAAATCACCTATGTCTCATGAAAATCAAGTATGTACGATTATACAGGGTATAACTGAAATAACGCCCACTAATCATATAGTGCTATTTCTAATAAAAAAATTAAGTCGAAAAGTCCTCTATACCTACCATTTTGCAATTTTCGCAATAGAGATAATGAGATATTAATTTCTAAATATTGCCTAATAAACGGATAAAATCGGATGTATAAGATAATTTTAAAATATTTTTCCATGTTCTCTTTATGAAATATTTTGAAAATTCTTCTTAAAAAAACCGAAGGATAACAATTGTAAATTAAAACCTCTTCAATATTTAAAAGTAATAGTAGCTATAATTGTATTGCTATAAAACTTATAAAAAGAATGTTTAAAAAATATACAAATTAAATATTATAAAAACTGAAATAAAGAATGGTATATAATTAATCCTAGCTGTACACACTGGGGTTCTCGGGATCTCAGCGCAACTTTCTAAATCGAGATTTTTTTGTTTCTAAATTTTTCTTTTTTTGAACCTATATATCTCGTAGTTCCTTAATTTTATCGACTTTTACACATTATGGGCTTGTTCCTTAATCAATTCTCAATCGATTAAAAAAAAAATTAATCCAAATATATCCATTTTAACAGAAGTTACGATAACAAATATGAATGGAGTCCCAGGGATTCCAGTGGGTATATCTAGGATTAAGATAAGTATTGTGCAGTATATAGGTGCAGTATATAGGCAGTATATACCTAAATGCTTGTATCTAGTGTAACTAAATACAAATTTATGTACCTGTAGGTACTGTACACAGTAAAAAACATTTTGGTAATTATGCATTATAACGGACCACCCTCCGATGACCTTGACCTTGACACATGTTGTCAAGGTCGTGACCCTGAGTGACCTCCAACAAGTTTTAACCGTCGCTCGCCATTCGTTGAAAAGTTATTAACAAAAAAAGTTCTTCAATAAATACTAACTTTTAGACATTACTGCACTCCGATGAGACAAGTTCCCTGCTGTATAAGGTACACAAAATATAATAGATGTAGTTTTATGAATTTATTAAGTTACATAACATAAAATATCTCTCTGCAAAAGTTAGTCCAGTGAACTACTGTATGTGATGTTATATTCAGCTCTTTTTGCAGGAATATTTGTCACGTCTGTGAAGCTAGCATATCATATATCAGCATCGCATAAAATGACACCAGTTCTGGTCGCAAATATTTGTCGGGGATTGTTTAACAGCATCACATAACAGATTAGCCGGCAAGCTGTATTAATATTTAAATTTGCTTGTGAAAACCATGTGTTGTTCAAAGCACTTATTTTAAAATTACAAATTAACCGTACGCGTTTACGTCCTCGTATTCGTTTGTAATAATGATGTGTACAATGTAAAATTAGTTGTTCACTATACAGTTCCACAATATTATTACATTTCGGACACTTTATTCTTTTTCGGATGACATTTTTCGCGCATAAATAGTTTATTAACTCATTGTGGTTCGTTGTTAAAGCGAGAAATTCATAAATTTGCATTTTCACTCGTTCGGTGTTAAATGTATAGCAATCTGTCTTCTACTGATTCATAAATATGTGGAAAGAAGTGTACATCTTAGTATTTATTTTGATTACGTTTATTCTTGTTACATGGTATTCACTCTGTCAATATACTTTCGTACTCATTAGAAGATCACGTGTAACCCACGTGCAACAGTACAAGGATGTAACTTTCTATGCGAAAATACGTCCATGATTGTATTGTAGGGCCTGCGGCCCCTTGTGTGTGTGTGTGTGTGTGTGTGTGTGT